TATCTATCTATCTATCTATCTATCTATCTATCTCCTGCCTGCCTGCCTGCCTGCCTGCCTGTCTGTCTTCTGTTAAGATACAGCCTGTTGTGCCTTAAAATGTCTTCTACTGGACAGCGCTATGGTGTTACCATGGCAACGGCTTCACAGTACTCCACAAGGGGGCTCCCTCTGGTAAGGGGGAAAATCCAAGATTAGAAATTGCAGCGACGGTTATGGAAGGAGGGTTGGGATAAATAAATATCAACTAGTATGAAATCTAAATCAATTAATAATCCCCATGGTCCTGTGATCAAAATCCAGACGCTTGGCAACTGACTCGCAGTTATGACGGTTGCAGTGACCCGGGGTCAAGTGATCACCTTTTGCGACCTTCTGACGAGCCTAGTCAACGGGGAAGCCGGATTCACGTAATGACTGTGTGACCAACTGAACAACTGCAGTGATTCACTTAACAACCCAGGTGAGAAGTTGTAAAAGGGGAAAAAAATCTCACTTCACGAGTGTCTCGCTTACCGACAGAAATTCTAGGCTCCACTGTGGTCTGACAAACCACGTCCACGGGGAAGCCGGATCCACTTAACGACCGTGTGACTTAACTTTTAACAACGGCCGCGATTCACTTAAACCAACGGCAGGCCAGAAACTCCGTAAAACGGGGCGAAGCTCACTTAACCCCTGCCTCTCTTAGCCACGGGCTCCACGGCGGCTGTAATTCGAGGATGAACGGTCCAGGAATTCCTGGTTGGAGATTTCCAAACGGAGAACTTTGAAATTTAAAGAGACTATCCCGAGAGACCGCTTTGGCAAGTTGAAGTTTTTGATTCTCGCGGATTTATTTCAACAGATTGAAAGGGGGGGGGTGGGTGAGAGAGGGAAAAAAAAATCTAATTTCTGTCTCTCCACCGTCGCCGATTCCCGTCCGTTTCTATTTGACAGTCATTGATTCTTCCGTCTCCCCTTCCTGCCCCGAGGCAGTAAATGGTTTTTAATAACTTCGGCTTCATAATGTCGGGTGACAAAGTAGCATCTGCTCGGGCGGGTGACCGAGCGTCGTTGGCACAGTCCTTGTCGAAAGTGACAGGCGTTAGGAGTTTGGGGCTGCAGGAGGCAACAGGCGTCAGGGGTTAATGGGAGTTTAAGGAAAGTTGTCAATAACTCCGGGGAGGGTGGGGTGGGCTGGGGGGTTCGAACGGGGCACCAATCCTTCTGCGGAGCCCTGGGTGAAGAAACGTGGGGAACTGCGTGGCAAATCAATCAATCATTCAAAAAGAATACAGAAGGAAGGGACCTTGGAGGTCTTCTAGTCCAACCCCCTGCCCAAGCAGGAGACTCCCCAACTTCCCCAAAAAGGTTGCGTGGAAACATGGGTGTCGGGCCTGCACGCTAGAAAAGCTGAACTTCTGGGTTGTAGTGCACATGCACGCCCGACGATCAGCTGGCTGGCACACATTTGCACACCACTTTTTAGCACTGCCACGCACGCGATGGGATTGCGCTCTGGAGAAACCCAACTTCTGGGTTCTGGCATGTATGTGCACCCGAAAATCAGCTGGCTAGCGCGCATGCGCACACTGGTTTTCGGCAAGCAAAGGACAGCTGATCGTCACACACGCATGTGCGCCAGAAGCCAGGAAGACAAACAGGGAAGGCTGCGTGTGCCGGGCAACATGGCTCCATGTGACACTTTGGATATGCGTGCTACATGTTCGCCATCACATCTCTCAACCATTTCAAAACAAAATGTCTCTGTGTCTGTTAGGTCTTTTCTTAAAGCCCCCAGTGTTGGAGAACCCACAACTCCTGGTGGCAAGCTGTTCCACTGGTTAATTACACAAATAACAGAGCTGGAAGGGACCTTGGAGGTCTTCTAGTCCAGCCCCCTGCTGAAGCGGGAGACCCTACGCCAATTCAGACAAGTGGCTGTCCAGTCTTTTCTTAAAAGCCTCCAGTGATGAAGCTCCTACAACTTTAGGAGGCAAGATTGTCCTCACTGCTAGGAAATTTCTCCTTAATTCTTGCATAGATCTGGCTGCTATGGCTCCTTCTTGGCCTAAATCGGGATAACAGAGTTGTAGGGGACCTTGGAGGTCATCTAGACCAACCCCCTGCTCGAGCAGGAGGCCCTATACCCCTTTCAGACAATCTCTTCTTAAAGACCTCCAGTGTTGGAGGACCCACAACCTCTGGAGGCAAGGCTTCCCACCGGTATAGAATATACAATANATTTTTCACAGTTATGACCTTTGAAGCATTCCCATTATCATTTTTATTATTGATTGATTTTATTTAGTTTGTCAAACATGTACAAGATAATAGGTATGACTATAAACATGGACATGAGCACAGGAAATGATTACAAATAAATGAGGACAGTAGGACTGGGACAGTAGACATGCTGGTGCGCTTATGTACCCCACCCCCCTTACAGACCTCTTAGGAATGGTGTGAGGTCCACAGTAGAGAGTTTAAGGTTGAAGTTGTGGGGGTTTGAGGAAGTAACAAGGGAGTCAGGTAGAGCATTCCCGGCATTGACCATTCTGTTGTTGAAGTCGTATTTTCTGCAATCAAGTTTGGAGCGGTTTACCTTGAGTTTGTATCTTTTGTTTGCCTATGTATTATTGAGGTTGAAGCTGAAGTAGTCGTTGACAGGTAGGATGCTGTAGCAGACTATTGTGATCAGAATTTAGATACTTAGCAGCTGGTTCATACTTATGACCATTGCTGTGTTCCAAGTTCAAGTGTTTACAACCTTCTGACAAGCAAAGTCAATGGGAAGCCAGATTCATTTAATAACCACGTTGCTTAACAATTGCAGTGATTCACTTAACAAATATGGCAAGGAAAGTCATAAAATGGGGCAAAACTCACTTAACAAATGTCTCACTTAACAAAAGAAATTTTGGGCTCAATGGTGGTTGTAACTTGAGGCCTATCTTTAGGTTCCTCCTAATTTTTCCACAAGATGGCAGTGTCTACTTTCTGCAATCCAATAGCTTCCATGTTTAGCTAAGAGAGTTTACAGTATTTCTCTAAATAGAATCAGCAAAGTGATGTACAGAAAACAAGAGCCATAAGCTAGTTACTAAATACTGATGCATTGGAAACATTCTAGATTGGGGAAATAGTGGCCTCAATCCAACCAAAGTTAGTAATTTGAAAGGAGAAGATGTAAAGAGGTAGAGAATCAGAAGGAAAAGTAAAACACTTAAACTAGATCAACCCAAATATCTATAATTTCAATCTAGCATCTGACTGTCCTTCTCTGGGCTCAGAAGCTAAGCAGATCCATCTTGGTTGGTACTTGAATGGGAAATCACCAGGAACTGTCAGAGCTATAGATTAATTCAAGAAGCAGAAAAGCATCTCAGAAGGCAAAGCAAAACATTTCCATACTGAAGAAAGAAAATATTATTCATTTATTTTATTGTATTTTGTTCTGTTTTATTTATATGGACCTATTTATGAAGTTGTAAGAGAGGAGGAGAAGAGGATGACCAAGAACAAGATGGATGGGTTCAGTTACACTGGTGATATGCATATATCTTTGGCAGACCTAAAGGACTAAATTAGGAGCAATTCATTGTGGGGGGAAATCTTGGCTACCAAGAGTCAACCTTAATTTAATGGCACACGATCAATCAGTCATCTATAAAATTATCAAGAGCTGAAGACAGCTTGAAGGAAACTTTAGCTTTTGTGCAGTTGACTTACAAACTCTACGTGGCCAATTTAATTCATATGATATTCCCATAGAGGATATTAAAGAGAAAACTATACAGAAGCCACCTTTATCAGAGTATTCAAAGATATATTTAAAATTCTG